AAACATATGTATTATATAAAATGAAGTGTCTTGTGTTAAATATTCTACTATATATATATCCCACTAAGTATATACACATAAGCATGTATATATTCATGTATGTTTATATACATATACACATATGCACACACATACATATATATGAAAAATAGAATGGACAGATAAACCTACTAAATATAAACGTATTTAGAAATAATCAAGGGAAATATCCCTGGTGGAAAAAAAAGTCATTTACTGAGTAGTGAGGGATGGAATTCTCACTGTGGGAACGAGATGGGGAGGGCTTATGTCCTACACATCTGGGTGTTGGTTTGTGACCCCCGCTTTGTGAAGATTTACAATGGCTTCATTAGATGGTTTAATGAACACAATCCGACTTTGAGAGGTAAATAAGGAGAGAGAAAACAGGGTAGGTCAGCAAGCAGGCAGGTTCCTGGAATGCGTTACTCACTCCTCTTGGCAGTATGAGTAAAGACCCAGGAGCTGGGTCACTGGTACCACTGAAACTCTACTGATTTCCACTGGGTTTCCATCCCTTTGCCAACTTACTGCTTTAAGACAGAAGACTGGATACAGAGACCTATCACTATTCTTTTTCAGATTTCTAAGACTCTGGGGATCCTTTTCTAAGAGTTGCCTGTTCCTTGAGGTAGAGATGAGTTCTTTTTTCTTTCAAGCTTTTTGCATCCTCTCAGCCTCTATATATAATGAGCATTGCCTATGGTTGCATTACCATCTTGAAAGCTTTCTTCCAAAATTAAGCTACTAATTAGGAATTATTTATACCCCAAAACATATGTATGTGTTCTGCTGCTCAGCATGTTGTTTTCATGAGCACCCCGATGCTCTTTAAATGTCCCCATCACTCTAGCTTCCTACACTGATTTCGACAGGCACCCTGGCCCTGGAATCCTCTGTCTGAACAGCTCTCATAATCAAATGCCAGAGCCCAGTTTCCTTGCTTCATCCATCTTGCCAATGATTGTTTATCACTGGTCAGAGGTGTGCTGGAAAAATTCGTGATTAAGAAGACTTCCTCCTCTCTTCCAGGGAGGGGAGCATATAGCTCTTCCTGGGCTAGGCAGGGCTCTTCTTGCACCACCTCACAAGCCTCAGAAAGCCAGAGACCCCAAGATAATTGCCCCTCTACACACCCACACATACAGAACTATATAGTCTCATCATAAAAATTCAAGAGAATTTTTAAAAACCTGATCAGTGATGTTCGTGAGTTAAGTGCTTTGTAGGCAGGTCATAAGCTCAGATGCCTGTGGCATCTACTCTTATCTGGGTGTGACTTCTCATTTAAAAGAACATCTTTGATCAGCTGTGAAACAAAGCCAAGTAGGTATGTCCAGAGCATGGAAAAAAGGAAAAGTCTGACAGAGAATATTGAAACAATTAAATCTATTGTTGTTTGCCTAATTTACAAATTGGAATCACCTGCTCAGGATGTGCTAGTGCTTCCTCCATCCCTTCCCCTGCAGTCTGATTAAGAATTCCAGGCAACTGACTAGTGCTCCCGGACATGCATAAAGTAAACTCCCTGTTCTGCAAGTTGATTCACATAACAGCTTCTCTAATAAAGTATGAGGTAAAGCTGCCTTGGCACATCTGTTTCATCACATATCTACAGCAGATCCAAGGAAAATAGGAGAGACAGGCAAGTTAGCCCCAAATGAACCGATATTTCTATGAATGGATTCAATATTTAAGACTTAGACCCAGCACCCAGAGAGTAGGCAGGTTATAACCTGATTTAGATGTAGAATGAATTATGAAATTGTTCAATGTGTTTCTTGAGCAAACTTAATAGAGTGTCTACTCATGCCAAGCCTTAGGTCAGGCATTGAGGATGTTCACCATCTAAGGGGGGAGAGAATCGTGTAAAGTGTTGATTAGGACACACTGTGTGATATGTACCGTAATAGGGGTTTTTCACCATTTGCTACAGATATGTAGGGAGTTCAAGATAATCTCAACCTAAGAAGTTGTAAGAAATGATGAGTCATAAAAGAAGGCTCCCTAGTGAAGTAATTTGGAAGAAGAGAATTTGGGGAGCCATTTTGAAATCTGAGAGGAAAACCTGGCTTGAGATAGATTAACATATTACATCTTCCCATCTGTATATTCAATGCATAGTTGTGTGTTGGGCCAAACATGGAGCAGTCTCACATCTGTCCTCACAAAGTCACTAGCCCACCCCTCAGACTGTCCCCCAGTGCCCCTGGGAACTTTAGAAACTCAATTTTGCTCTAGTCAGTAAGGATACAGCAACCTGAAGATGGATGCCAAGCTTAACCTTGAGGATGATCTCTTCGGCCTCCTACTCCCATATCCTTTCTCAGAGTGACTCAGTCAGGGAAACACCCTGCAAAGCTTCTGATTTCTAATTGCCATTTTTCCCTAAATGAATGTTCTCTTAATACTTGTCATATCTTTTTCAGATCAAAGGCATCTAATACCTAGTATAACATTTGACTTGTCATAGTCCAATTGCTATTTGTTGAAGTTATTTATTATAATCACATGTTCACAACCTATAGGAAAGAGAAGGGTGCATTTCCTTGAAAACTATCACCTTAAGTCTGCAGCAAGTACTTCCCACACATACACAAATTATAATATTTACATATATGAATATCCAGACATTAGAACATTTACAATTAAGTTCATTTCACTATGCCAAGACACAAAAATCTGGCCTTATCTTTCTCCAGGAGCTCAAAGAAAAATGCTACTTGAATTCAGTCAACACTCTGCATTTTCCCTGATGGAGTGAGAAGATGAATCTGCCAGAGAAGGAAATGCCTCCCCACTCAGCAAATCAAAGGCAAGATCCAGCTGTGCTTTCCAGAAGGTCCCAGCATATTCTGAGAACAAGAGAATTCTCTGACATTTCATATTTCTCCTCCCAGGAGAAGGAATGGGTGTTCTTTGATACAGATATATTTAGTCATCTTGGATCTACAGGGCAACAATGGGAAGAGAAAAAGACCCATTAGGATGATCTCTCATATTCACAAAACTGGGAGTGGTTTGAAGGCTCAAACAAGACCATAAAGGACTAAGACTGGTTGAGACCTTGATGAAGACAGAACTAAATAATGAGGATAGAAGTGAATAATGCTCAAAGGAAGAGAGAATCTGGGTGGAGGAAATTAGGTGAGATTCTTTAGACCTGTGCCCTGTCCATAGAGAGGATTTCCTAAAATGGCCAAATTATTCACAGTCCATCCCTGACCCTTAACCCTTAACCTAATGCCCACAGTAGTATTATTAATCTAGCCCCATGTCCTTCATTTTATAATGCCAGCATTTTCCATTCCCAATTATTCCACATTGTAACTTTTCCTTTTGTAACAAACATCTCCTAATTAATCATATTAAAAATATTTCATGAGGTTATACTTATGAAAAAATGGTACAGAAGAAATGAAAAGAATCTTATAATTTTGTTTGCGTATATAGATTTGAAAAGCTGAAAAAGTGACTAATTTTCCAAGAAAATGTAAATTACCAAAATTGACACACTGGAGTTAGACAACTTGAACAGATCAATTAGCAAAGGAGAAACTATGTATTTAATTTCAAAGAACTCCTGCAAAGAAGAAAATAAAGCCAAAGAATATAATAGAATAATTTCTGTCTAATGTGAAAATGACTTTTGTCTTCAATGCTATTTTAAACTACTCCAGAGCACAGAAACAAAATACCACTTCCAAATTATTTTTATAAATATAGAATAACATTGACAATAAAACTTGACAAATAAGCACAAAATAAACTGAGAGCAGCTTCATTTGATGACTATCAATGCATACATCCTGGATGAAATACAGCATAAAAGAATCAGACAACAGATTAAAAGAAATATTAACCATAATTAATATTTTTGTTTGTTCCAAGAATGCAAGGACAGTTTGACTCTGTTAATGTTATTGCTATATTATTAGATATTGCTACACACAGGACAATCTTCATAAATACTGAAAAGACAAGATAAAATTCAATATGCTTTCATGACTTAAAGTTTCTAATAGATATACTTGCTCATGATGATAGAATTTCATCAATCTCAAGTCAAGTTTCATGCTTAATAGAAAAACATATTAGAATCATTTCTATTATTGCCAGGAACTAATGATATTTAATATTGCTATCATCACTTACTATTGTTTTAAGTATTTTAATGCATCATAAAAATATGAGTATAAATATAACAGAAAAAGATAAAACGTATATTGTATGATTAGATGGATAACTAAGAGTTCTAAAACATCAATTGAAAATATGTTATAAAGGATAAAAGAATTCAATGAAATGTCTGGGGGAAAATAACAAAACAAAAAACTATACTCTTCTCATAGAATTAGAAGTTAATGGAGGAAGAAATCTTATTCATAATAGCAGCTCATAAAGATATTGCTCCTACTTAACAATTTGACAAATGTATATGATTTATATTACCAAGATTAAAAAAAACCTCACACATTAGGTATGAACCAAAATGATACAAAAACAAATACAAAACATCTCTCTAAGGAAGATTCAGTCTGATGAAGACATTAATTCTAAGTCAATCTGCTAAAGTTACCCCCACAAAATACACCAAATTTTATATAAGCTAATGCTTACAAACAAGATAAAATTAATATATTAGCAAAAAATTGGATAAACTCTTCTAAAAAGAACCACAAAGAAATAAGAAAGGACTAATTTCTGTTAGATAGCATGATATATTATAAGGTAATATAAATCAGGCATGGTACAGATTCAAAAATAAGTGTCAATCAATCAGAGTGGAGAATCTAGAAATCTAGAAATACAATCAAATAATATATAGAAATGTAGTCCATGAAATTTTACTACTTAAAAATATTTACTATGTAAATATGTAGTATGTGATTTTTGCATATTGGTGGGAAAGGATGGGTTAGTCAATAAATTTTATTGATAGGGTAACCATCAAACAAGAAAATAAAAATTAGAAAGTTTACCTTATATCCTATAGATCGATCAACTTCTTCAGTTTAAAACATGGGAACACCAATCCACTGGATGAAAACATAAAAATTTTTAATAATCTCAATTTTGAAGAGACATTAAAAATATTTGAGTACAATTACATATTATCAAAATAAATTTGCTGTATAAATTCTCATTTTTTCCTCAGTGACAAAAACACCGTAAAAGCCAAAGGAAAATGAGAAACATAAGTTATTTACAATATTTATATAAAAATACCTAAAGAACTCTTACAACTTGGCAGGCAAAAGACCAAAAACTCAGTATAAAATGAACAAAGGTCATGAACATTCAGTTCATAGAAAAAATTACAAATGTCTTCTAAACATTTAAAAAGATGTTCAGTCTCACTCCTAAAAGGGCAATACAATGGAATCCCAATAACACACCCATGTTTCATGTATCATATTGCCGATAAAAAAAATTTAATAACACCATTTGCCAAGATCATTAGAAACCAGCTACTTTCACTCCTCATAAGCCATTGTATATCTTGGCACATTTTGAAGGGCAAATTTATAATATCTATCAAAGTTACAAGGTACATATCTTTTGAACCAATGATTTCATTACTAAGATCTTTCTGCAGATTAACTTGCTTATATAAAATCAATGTATTTTAGTGTTATCCATTACAGCATCTTTTGCAATAAGAAAAGCCTGGGGGAAAACCTAGATGTCCATCAGAAAGGTATTGATTAAATAAATTATGATATATACAGTCACTTGTCACTTGACAACATTTCAGTCAACAAAGGATCACGTGCACAATGGCGGTCCCACATGCTTAGCCCATAGTAAGCTGTGCCATCTAGGTTTGTGTGACTATACTCTATGACGTTTGCACAATGACAAAATTGCCTAACGACATACATGACTGTATTCATGATGACGGTTATGCAGCCATGAAAAAGAATAAGGTAGCATTATAGGTACTAATGTGAAAAAAGGAAAAAAACTCGAGGTGAAATTTGGGTTTTAAAAAGTGAAGCACAGGGCAAGATGTTTAATGTGCTGTCCATTTATTTACCAAAAACTGGTAAAAGAATATGTGTTTCTAAGTTCCTGTATATGCACAGAATTGCTTTCAGACATACAAGAAATGTAAAGGAGGTTACCATCCGAGAAGGGATGGGGCGGTTGGGAGACAGGGCACACATGAGACTCACTATCCCCACCCACAATTTCCCATCCTCTGCGTGCCACACTGTACACAAAGTATTCATGCCCACAGAGGCCCTGCACCCAGAGGTGTGACTACGCCAGAACCAGCCTTTCGGTTTCGGCTCCTCTTCACAACCTCCACTCACAAGACTGCTTATCATCACCCCTTGTCTGATGTTTCCCAGCAGCATTTTATGCACAGACCTTCACACCCTGCCAGGTCTGCAATGTCAGCTCAAATCACTCTGCTCCCCAGCACTCTCCTGCCCACACTCCCAGGACCCCTCCCTCCTCAGGACCCATGCCCTCCTTCTGGTTTGTCTCCTGGTGCCAGTTACATCTGCCCAACTTTAACATAAATTTCCGAGAGCACAGACCTGCGTCCACATCTCTGTAGCCCCATGGTACCTGAGAGCAGTGGGTGCTCAGAGAAAGAGAAGATTTACTATTCACTTCTACTGTCCTCATTGATAATCTTGCTCATTAGCAGCTTCCAGGGATCTGGTGCGAATCCAGTTCCATCAGGGAAGGAAAGCCACCCTCGCGCACTCCACCAGGAAGCTAGCCTGGAAGCCCATGTGTGTCAAGCCTGCCTGTTCCCTGTAGAAACTATTCCATTCCAGGCCCATCCCCTTACACCCCTGGGCCAGCAATCCCAGGAGTCCTGGCACCACAGGCTTGACTTTCCATAAGTCAGAAATCATTCTCTTTGCTGATTTACTCTATGTCCCAGATATTTACTCTATGTCCCACTTTCAGCCTTCAGGATGCAAGGAGGTTCACAGAGAAGAGAGGAGGATGGAATACAAGATGGGTCAGTTTAAGAAACAAAACACAATTGCAGCTGGATCGGAGATTGGGAAGACAATGGGCCGGAGACTGGAGACCCAGACCTGGCCGTCGGGTAGGGTGGAGCCATTTCTTTTCTTAATTCTGTGCCTTCTCCCAAACAACAAAAATCCAGGCAAAAACCGACAACAGAGTCTGTGAAAAAAAGTGCCTTGTAACAGCAGTGCTGCCTGTGAACTCACGAAGCCCCACATCTTCTTGGTTCACAGGTCAATGCACTGGGGGCCAATAGGGGTAAAGAGGCATCCATGCCCTGTCCTCTTCACAAACCCCCCTTTCCTAGGTTGGGGGTTCAATTATTCATTTTGGGGTGGATTCTTTTTCTCTTTTTTGCTGCCCCTCTTTTGATCTCTTTGGTGCAGTGCCGCTGTTAACAAAAAATACAGCATGTGTGAGACAAAGTGTGTGCAATTCCTCTTTCAGAAAGGAGGCCTTTGAAGAAAAGGCGAGTGATCTGAATAAAGAGAGGGAGCCCCGAGGGAGGGGCCAGCAGGTTGCTGGGTGGGAGGCAGGTGGGAAGGAGGGGTGTCTGGATAGGAGGGCAGCTTTGATCTCTCCAGTAGCTTTTGCCTTTTATGGTCCCTATTTCATTGTTGGGGTGAGGGGAGTCTTCTGCAAAGGTGTGGGGTGAAGTGGTTGAGAAAGGGGATGAGGTTATAAGTCTTGAAATGACAGGGATGCAAGGGTCCTCTCCCACCCATCCCCAGAACACAGCCGCTGGACATGTTTTCCCATCAAACCTTCCCCAAACACACACAGACACACCCATACACACTCATACATTTACACACACTTCACTTGCACTCATATATTCACATCCACAGACATGCTCACTCTCACATGCACATCAGTGTACACACTCACCCACAATCATATTTACACCCATATATGTTCACCCATTCACACTCACTCATGCACACACATTTATACCCACACATGCGAATACATTTACACCCATTCACACTCACACAATGCACTGTCACACCAATACATAAAAATTCACACCTGTGCAAGTGAATCTCACACATCCACCACAATCACATGACATCACATGGGGTCATTCCTGATGAGACCATTTCTGGAATGTGATCAACAGCTTTTTTAGTGCAACTTTTCCCTGAAGGCTGTGGCACCCTCCACTGACACCCACACCAGGCCAGCCCACTCTGTGTCCCACATGCCCCTAATTCTGGTTTAGGTCAAATTTCTCCCACTGCCCTTGATCTGGAACTTCCCCTGCTCAGGTCCACAATACCTTCCCTTAGCTGCTAAACTAATCCCTTTAAGCCAAGGCAATAATGACTAACAGCAGCAGATTACAGGGTGGATCTCAATGCCATGATCTTTTTTTTTTTAAATAAATTTTATTTTTATATTCCCCATACAATTGCAACCCCCTTATTTTGACCCCAATCCCTCCCCTCCCCGTCCCCCACCCCCCATAGAGTGTCTCTGGTTCATAGTTGTTGATTTTGATTTTCACTTTCTTATAGTTTTTCATTTTCCTGGTCCCTTATTTAAGTTTTCTGGATTCCTGCTATGAGTGAGACCATCCGGTATTTTTCTTTTTCTTTCTGGCTTATTTCGCTGAGCGTGATCCCTTCCAGCGCCATCCATGTTGCTGCAAATTGCATGTGTTTATCTTTTTTGAATGCTGAGTAATATTCCATGGTGTATATATACCACATCTTCTTGATCCAGTCATCTATTTTTGGGCATTTGGGTTGTTTCCAAAGCTTAGCTATTGTAAACAGTGCTGCTATAAACATAGAGGTGCACGTGCTCTTTGGAATTGATGTTTCTGTGTTCTTTGGGTAAATACCTAGGAGTGGAATTGCTGTATCATATGGAAGCTCTATGTTTAGTAGGTCCAGAAATCTCCACACAGCTCTCCATAGTGGTTGGACCAGTTTGCACTCCCACAAACAGTGCAGGAGAGTTCCTTTTTCTCCACATCCTCGCCAACATTTGTTGTTGCTAGTTTTTTAAATATGTGCCATTCTCACTGGTGTAAGATGGTATCTCATGCCTAATGATAAAGGACTGATCACAAAAATCTGCAAAGAGCTGATGAGACTCAACAACAACAAAGAAAATAATCCTGTCAAAAAATGGGCAGAAGAGCTAAGAAGAAACTTCTCTGAAGAGGAAATGCAAATGGCCAACAGGCATATGAAAAAATGTTCAACATCACTTGTCATCAGGGAAATGCAAATCAAAACTGTCATATGATCTTTAATATGAGACAGGCCTTAGAGCCCAGGACATAGCTGTGAGGGCAGAGTTCCCGGGCTGCAGCAGGTGGTTGTGGGTCATGGGCATGGCTAGTCTCTTATGAAACACACAAGTATCTAGAACATGACCTTGGCCATGGAGGAGCTGACCCCACTAGACACCCCCTTAGAGTTTCCAGACTCCTGGAAGAGGGGAAGTCTGTATAACAAGTTTGAGGGCAGATCCTTCTATGCTTGGTTCACAAAGGAAGTCCCCAGGTGTATGAGGGTCTCCTGTCTCCAGAGATGCCATACATCTGAAAGGCACTCCCTCTGCCCCCTGCATTCCATGGAGCAAGTGTCTCTTAGGATGATGCTGTTTTAGGGCCAAGCCAAACACAGACTGAGCTGTATCTTCCCTTGGACCCGGGGCCATGTTGGACGGGCCACATACTTGTTCAGCAACTGGGCTTGAGTGACAGTGGAAATCATTGCCCCCCCTGCCCCCACCTTGCCCAGTCCCTTCTGCCCAGTCTCTTCTGGCAGCAGGCTTAGCTCCCACTGCCGAAGGTCCCATAGAGCATTGCGTCATCCTGTCAAGTCCAGATTCCCTCTGTCCTCTCCCCTCATCTCACTGCTGTGGATCAAGAAAGCACTATGGGACTGTCTAGCAAAAGCTGGAGAGAAGCAAAGGCCCAGGGGCATGAGAGAGAGACAGATGGCTAATCCCATGTCCAGGATTTGAGGACTGGGGTTGAAGGAGACAAAGGTCAAATAAAATAGGGGCAGGCAGAGAGAGGCCT